TCGTGAGCCAGGATCTAGGTTCAGACCCAGCTTTAATGCTGAAATATGCCATATAATCTACTTGTCCAGTCCAGTGCCACTCCCACAGTTTACGGTGGGTGGCTGATAACAGATTCATGGGTCTTTATAATAGGATAATTCATTATGGCGTCTTCAGACCTCAGAGGGTTTGAGGGCAGCAACCTCAAAACCAGAATGCTTTGAGTCCTGCGGAGAACAACAGAGGTCAAGGAAAGTCCCTGCCTCATCCAAGCCCCTTGGGTCTGCCCCCGCCTGCCTTGCTCCCTCCCTGCCACAGTCCCTGGTTCTCTGTGCCTGCCTGTGCCGAAACCACGCAGATCTGACCTTTGGTTTACAGCTGGAACCAGGAAAGGAGCCCTCCTGCACCCAGCGCTCGCCTCTCCGGCTGCCGGCAGCGCCGGAGCTCGCAGAGCCCCGCACAACTTCAGGCCGGAGTCATTTTGGGCAGCGCAGGGCAATAGCAGCTCTAACCACAGACTACGTGGGGTGCTGGCCTCTCAGGAAGATGAAGCTGATGGAGCCGTGGCTGCCAAGGGGTTCCTGGTGGGGACGAATCTGAGCCAGCCCCGCCAGAGGAGCCGCAGGTCTGTCCTTTGAATTCCAATGCAAAAATGAAGCACCTCGCCCTGCGCAGAGGGTGTCAGAAGTATTGTATCGTCTCTCAGAGCTGGTGGCATTGTACTGAGTAATTTATTGCAACGATGAACCCAATCATTTTCTGTAAATTATTTTGTAAATCACATTGATTATTTATAATTGGGAGATTAAATGGAAAAAAAAAAACCCCAAACTACAATAACCAGGCTGTCTTTTCCAACTCAGCAACCTTTTTTCCTGTACGTAGAGATACCCTATGGGGAATCCTTTTTGGTCCATTTGCACCAAGCATTCCTTGATACCGTACATTAATTTTTGCTGGTTACTGCCTTCCAATGGAAACAGAGGAATATTTCTTCATTAGAGTTTGTATTCATTAAAAAAAAAAAAAGGAAATAAATGCAAAAATATTTTCTAACTTTTCCCAGACAGATGGATTTCTTTCTTCTGGGAGGATTTATTCTAAATCAAGGGGCTTGCCTCCTTGTTGATCTGAGCACAAAGCATATGTGTGTTGAGGAAAAAGCCCAAACACATATGTGACGCTGTCACCAGCTGACACTATTTTTCCCAGCAAGCCTCATATTAGCTGGTGTCTGTCCTGAAGCCACGTGTGCTGGAAGCACAAGATTGAATGACAATCTCAATTTTCATTAAAAGAAAAACAAACATGAACCATAAATATTTGCTTTTATGATTCCAGAGAGACCAAAGACTTTAAAAGTAACCACTCTCTGAAAACCAAGCAAAGGAAGCCGGAATATGTTTTTAGCATTTTGAACATGTTCATTTTTAAGTCCCTCTTGTATTTCAAGGTTAATTTTGGAGCACTTTGGGGTGATGATTCTGCTTTGGTTCACACTCAGCCAGCCCACTGCGCTGGTGCAGCCACAGGCAGACTCAGCCTACGGGGCACAATAAGACAATAAAGTGAAAGTCAATTTGTCACTGGTTGTAAAGGTGAAGAAGGACACTGACAATTAGAGAAGGTTCTTAATGACCTCCCTTCTGATCACGGGAGTCTGCTCTCACATGTAGCATGCCCAAGAAGATAACAGAGAGGAGAGAGATGGCTGTAAAGATTAGGTATCTGGGGAGGAACAACATCCAGCATTTTCAGCTCTGTTCTGCAGCAGATGCCCCCCATGTTCCCCCATCACTCAGCGTGAAATGAGTGGGCAATCTCATCCCAGGTAGGAGGGATGAGAAGCAGCCTGATTTTTCCAGACCCCTTGCACATCCCGTGGCCTCCCAGTGACAGTCACACTGGTGAAAACCAGCAGCAGGGATGAGATTCAGAGCTGTGTGAGGACTGTGTGGAGAGAGCACTTAGAACCTGCCTCCACCCTGGGGCCAAGGGGTCAGAAGAATAGGACAGACCTCAGATAACGTGCCCTCAATACCAGTACACCTGTGATGGTCCAGAGCCGACACCACTGCTGAATGCCTGAACCAGGTCAGCAAACGCAGTCACAGGACTTGTGTTATCTCAGCACAAACAGCGACCAAGTGGTTAGTCCAGTCAAGAGAAGAAAACAAAGTTCCTTCTCTTTAATGTGGAATAAAAACCAGGAGCCCTCTACCTGCCTGCCACAGGAACCCCGTGACCCACAGTCAGTTTTACCTGGGTATATGCCCTAAAAAGTCCATATATGTAATATCAAATCTTAGAAGCAATAAATTCTCCTGGATTCCTTCCCATGAACTGCTCTATCAAGGCTGCCCTTTATCTGGTTAATCTTAAATCAGCGCAATCCCTACAGGAGCTTTCTTATTGCTGGATTCAGCTCCCTCAGAAAAAAAAACAAACAACAAAAAAAAACCACACACCACAAACTGCCCCAGAGACAACCTTGTCCTAAGTGGTGCCCTCGAGCCCAATCCTCAATTCTTCTCAGCCTCAAATCACCCTGAGACACTGGTTTGGCCCCTCATGAGCTGTGTTTTATCCTACTGGGCTCCCTGGAGCCCACAGGCAACGCCCCATGTCACAGCAGATGTCTGCTGTAAGGACAGCCAGTATCAGCCTCTAAGGCACAACTTTCTTAAGAAGTTTTTGGACACAAGAGCTTTTTACTGTCCTCTTGAGCTCCTGCAACCTAGACTAAGGATGATTTCCTGGAGAGCAGTATCTCCAGCTGCGAAATCTTTTCACGATGTCCAAGTAAAGATCTGTGAAAGTGGTATTTTTAGGTCCTTTGGCCACTATGAAATGCATTCTTTTCATATTCCTTATATAACCTTCCTCTGAAATAACCAACAGGCTTTGGAGCCTTTTCTACAGCTTTCATATCTCAGGGGGTGGGGTGGGGGAGAAAGAATGGCAAGTGATTTTTATGGCCTGCATATCATCTCTGAAAAAAACAACTATTGCTGCTATTAAACTCGCAAGTGCACACACAGGCACAGATAGTCGTGAACAACAAGAGGCAGCAGGGACGGCTCAGCAACGTGGCACTGCTGAGCCAGGCAATTCTGTGTGCCAGGCTGGCCACTTCCCTCAAGGCTGAATGCAAATATCACTAACCAATTTGGGAATTCAGACTAATCCCTTTCCACTTGGAGAGGCTGGAGGAGGAAGGGTAAGGTGTGGGTATGTTTAAAATCGTTCTCCCCATTCCTAATTGAGGTGTGACCCTGATAATCATAAACACACCTAGCACCTGAAAAATTGCCAGCCAGGCCAATAAAAATGGCAATATACTGTCAGCTTTGTTAGGTGTGGAGCAAGCAGGAGAGCTCTGCACAAACAAGACTGCCGTCACGTCCTTCAGTTCAGTCTCCTGTGTAGGAGAGGAGCAGCTGCTGGGGTCAACAGAGCGCTCCCAGTTCAAGCCCAGGGGGAGAAGCTCCGAGTCTAACCCAGGTCTTGGGAAGGAAGGTGGTTTGGGAACTGTATTTCCAAGGCTTATTCTGGCTTTGGACCAGAACATTGGCATCATCTTCCAGAGGCCTGAGGCCACACCTAGCTCAGGCGATCAGCCACAGAAGATACGGGATACACAAACCGCTGGCCTCCACAGGTCATGCTTCACCTCAGTCCCTCACGTCTGACAGCTCTGCCTGGCTGGGACCTGCAGTCTCTTGTGACAGGGACACGTGAAGTCCTTCTGAGCCTGGGGGACCCTACACCAGATGACTTTGGTCTGGGGGAGCTGTTGTGATTCCCCACCTCCTCCTAGAAACTGCTAAGGTTGCAATAAATAGCACAAGAGCCTGCGGGACATGCCTGGACAGACACTCACAGCAGAAAGCATCGCCAGCTGGACAGGAATTCCTCGCTGCAGCTGCCAGCCTAGGTGTTAGCAGTGGCTGGAACATGGCCTGTTCTCCCTAC